GATTGTCTTTAAAAGTTTGTGGGTATAAAAAGAGCCTTTTTTTTAATTTATTGCAGATCAGTCTACCAGTGTTGTTCTTCATTTTAGCTCAAGATATATAATTTTTCAAGGGTAAGCAATCAAAGTTTTTAAATATTAAGTAGCAGGTATGTAGCAGGTATGTAGCAGGTATGTAGTATTCTATATTGTATAATGACTAGTTTTTTATATATTGTTGCAAAGGGCTTTAATAGAGTATTTTAACGCTAAAAAAATTATCAAACAAATCTATTAAACAAAGAATATTTTGATTTTTTTTTAATTTTGTCAATTCTTATCAATATAATTTCTTGCATTAATGGAGATTTTCAAATTTAAGAGTTTGCAAATGATATTAATTTATACCAATTGAGAAATGATTAAAATTATTTCAACCAAATCATTTTCAATGCATATTTTTATGTCTAAATGCATACAGTTTAATTTCAAGAGAAAGGTTTAGGGATAACGTAAAGAGGGTGAAGATTATTTAGAACTCTTTTCACACCTTGAGTAGGATAGGAGATACAAAAATTTTAATATATTTTTTTAAGAAACAATAGTTATTTAAAAACAAGCTTTATATACAAAAGACAAAAATTTTTTTAAATTTTAATAAGTTTGAAAAACTTTAAAGGTGAAACTTTTTTCTTATAAATATTTGGCTCATTGAAGTTTAAAACGGAATTAGAATTACAATAGCTAGCAAGATGATGAAGATACAAATACTTGATAATACTTCTGTTAATATCGGTGTGGATAAGCAGTCAACTTTATTTATTTTTTTTAATTTATATTTTTTAATTTGAACATTATATTTTTCCATCGAATAAATATTACAAGCTACATAAATTTTCAACTAAAATTGTTTTTGTCTTGACGCCGATAAATAGCAAAAGAAAGGATCCTATTATTTGAAAATCTCGGTACTTTGTCTCACTATGCTATCATTACTACAGGGGGTAAATAGTGTGTTACTATCTATTGTTGAATATTTTCCAAATCATTTAGAATCTTATATAATTCAGATAATCCTAAAATTTACGATAAAGTATAAAGTTTTTAAAACCTTCTAATATAATATAACTTTCTTCCAATTCATTCTGATTTCTATATTAATCATTCAAATATTGAACCCTATATGATTTAAGATTTTTTAATTTTTCATAAAAAACGTAAAAATGTGAAGAACCATTTATTTATATTGTTTGAATTCATTTGTACAAAAGTTTTTATTTCCTTAAAAAATTTTAAAAAATAAACTTTAAAAAATAAATCTTGATTCCCATGCCAGAGGGCTTTAGTTTTACAAGTTACGTGAAAAAAAAAAACCTACTGATAAATTCTGAATAATTTTTATGTTCATTGTGTATGTTTACAATTCCATGTAGCTTGCACATAAAATGTCTAGTCATTTTAAAACTGTTGCTAGACTTCTTTATGAGACAATAGAGCTGAAAACACACAAAAATTACATTTTAAAACCTGATAAGAAATTCTTATAACTGCGTTTCAGAAAATTTTCTCTACTCTATTTATGTGATAAAAAAGGTATATGAGTCCGATCTAAAAGGCAAGTTCAGCTTAAAATACAATCAAGAATGCTTAACCCTTAACTGAAATATAACTACACTTTATGGCAACAAGGCTTTATAATAACAAATACCAAGATATTTAAAAAAAAAAAGCATAAGTATAAAATAAAAGGGAAAATTAAAGGACTCATACTTTTGTTTTTAGGGTCCTTACATTGTTAATTCTAAATTGCTATTCATCAATAACATTGTTGGTTAAAACAAAAAAATATTGCACTTATAAAATGTCAATTATATTATTGTACTTATAAAATAATTTGTTGTAGAAAACTAGTAACAAATAAAAAAAACAGTTATGCTAATTTTGTTTTTTTTATTTTTCTTTTCTGGGTTTTTAGTTTATGAAATATATTATTTGTTTAAAAATACATAAAACTAATGAAAAAATACAAGTTTTATTTAATATATTACTTTTATATATTTTTTTAATCTTTGGTTCTTCAAAAAAAGATTTTTTAATCTTTAAATATGAAATCTATTTCCAATGGGTCAGAGAAAAACACCACATTGTTCTTGTTCTTCAGAATTATTGTTTTTTTTTTAATCGTTTGTCCTTCAAAAAAAGGTTTTTTTATCTTTAAATATGTACTTTATTTCTAATGGATCGAGGAAAAATATCACACTGTCCATTATTCTTCAGAAAAATTTGAGAAAGTTGACGGATCACCTCTTTATTTATACCTAAAATCAGAATGCAAATTTTCAAGAAATTTTAAAGTCTAAAAGGTGACAGATAATAATAAATATTAATACTCAAGTATCGCGATAATAGGTAGTATTTACGATAATTACTTTTTATCTTAACTTTGGAATGCTGTTTAAAAGATTTGCAGCTTGACTGTCAGAGCTAAATGTGGTACTTAGATTTCTTTATTTGCTATATCAGCAATTGCTTCAAACAGATGGAGATGACAGCTTAAGCAAATGTTATTTAAGAATAATGTTTAGATTTCAACAATCACTTTTAAGGGATTGGCAGAAACTCTGTAATGGTAATTTCACAAATATTCTGAGAAATTGTGACAATATTTGTATATCCAATAAAAATTGATTTGTAAGTGATATACACAGTTGTATTACATTAGAAAAATACACAATTGTATATATTAGAAGCACTGTTAACAGAAACATTATTTTTAATACACCTGTTAATCAGAGCTCTAATATTACAACTATGTTTACTATTGCGTTTGTTACCACCCAGTAAGAAAAAGACGTCAAGCCGTAGTTGTAATTTGGTTGTATTTTGGTCGCGACGCAAGTTAACTAAATTCCAACGATGTTCCAACGTCGGCATAACGGTGTTGTTCTAACGTTTGCTATCAAACGTTGGAACAACGTCGGAAAAACGTTATCATTTAAAGTCTTGAATGTTAACATTAAAACGACGTTGGAACGACTTTGGAACAACGTTGCTTTTTTTACGTTTTTACTTTTGACATCAAAGCAACGTCAGCTTTCTAACGTAAACACAACTTGATTTTACAAATTTGCGCATTTTTAAAATGGTTAAAAAACCGTTATCGAAAAAGATGTTATTTTTAATCTAATTTTAATTTAATGGTTTTTAGGCATTATAATCTGTGATACTAATAATTAATACATTATTTCTTTATATTCTACATTCGAATTAGATATTAAACTTTTATCATATTAATGATAAATAAAAGTTACAAAAACTTTATTTGATTTTTAAAAACTGTTGACATTTTTGTTATGTTTTTGTATACTTTGTATATTTAACATTACTTATATAGTAAAAATTTCTAACATATATAATATTTGCACATAATACTTTATTTACAAATAGATAATGCAATGATAGGTTTTTTAAATACCCGTTATTAAACTATTTAGCAGTTTAATTAAATGCCAATAAAAATACAGAGCCTCTTTTTTTAAGACATTCAATTCAGTTGTCTAAGACAGTTGTAAGTTGTATTAAAACAAGGTTTTTACTTAATATACATAATATATTAAGTATAAATTTAAGACAATTAAGTTATATTAAGACAATGTCTTAATCATAATATATATTTTATTTATTTGAATGAAAAATTTTTTAGTTTGTTGTGGAACTAGACTAGAAATTACCTAATAAGCTTCTTATAACTTGTGTAATGTGTTTCTTTTACGAATTTGTGTATTGGTATAATCATATCATGCTATTCCTACAATATTATAACTAACACTGACTCTCATAAGTTTGAGTCTCAAGTCACGAAAAAAGGTAAACAATTTTTTATATATTTGTATTAAGTTATTTTTATTTTATTTTTTTTTTATTGTTATTCACCTCCGGGTTACTACCAGGAACATGGTAACGATAGAACTTATAACTTCTCACTATGAAGTGAGCGAAAAACATATCCTACAGAAACTGCAACAGAACATCTAAATTTTACACTAGATCTTAGTCATAATAAACAAAATATTTAAGTAATAAATATTTTGTTTATTATTTATTAGAAGTATTTCAATAAAGTACATGTCAAATATATTTGTGTGTAGTTTTTGTATATGATATGTGATATGATATAGTTTTAAAATTGATATTTTATACCAAAATACATATATATATATATATATATATATATATATATATATATATATATATATATATATATATATATATATATATATATATATCGTCATAGTACTATCATTTACTTATTCTCTTATCTTTCTAACCAAAAAACTAATTAATCTTATATTTTAATAAAACTCATGCCAAGTTAAAATATATATTTTTTGAATGTTATTATTTTTCTTCAATTTTTATGTGCAAAGTTAAAGTACTAAGTTATCAAGGTGTTTAAAATCAGAACAAGTCGACTTAAATATACATAATCACATTATTTAATCTTAAACTTAAACTTAACAATAGAATATTTGAACGAGTTTACACTAAGAATTGGTAACAAAGGTTTTGCTCAACAGTTTGTGAGTTTGATTTCAATATTTTTAACATGATTTAGAAAACAAAACCTGGACAATATATTTTAATGCCCAGCTTTTGAAACAGCAAAAAATTTACAATCACTTTATTAAAATGAATCTAAATCATTTGCTGTTACAAATTATGTCATCCTATATATTCAGCCTATAAATATTTTTAAACATTTTAGATTGGTTGCAGCCTAACAAAATTGTGAAAAAACAATATTGAATAATTCTAATGTTTTAAAATTTTATTTCCGTTACAAAATTTAGTGAATAAAAATGTTTTATATTTATGAGTTTGCCATGATTGCTCTGATTGAATCATGGCAAAATACTTATTCAGTTCTAACTGTTTTTTAAATAAGCTTTGGTCTTTAAGCTTGACCTTGGTGAATGCAGTAAAAAATATTTAAATAAGATCTTATGTGTAAAACACTTCAATGTGCCTTTTTTATATTTTTTTCTTTTTGGCGGAAAGTTACCAAAATATGTTAAGGACTTAATTCAGAGGTAACTTTTGTATTTCTTCATTTATATATATATTTTTTTTTATGTATATTCAGAACTTTGAAGGCATTATGAATAAATGCAAAGATTTTGTTAATTATTATTTTAATATTACTTTAAATGAGTATACATATTGCATGTGAATATTTATATAACACATTAGCAAACTAATACAAATGGCTATAAAAATTGATATCAATAAAACATTTTGAAGTATTTTTATTATAAAAGTTCATTTCTTAAAAGTTAAAAAATGCTAATTTGAATTATGAAAATTGTCAAAATTTTTATAAAATTTTTGTATTTATAATACTATAAAGTATCCATGTCAAAAGTATTAAAAATATTATTAACAATATATGAATAAATTGTCATAAGTAACTATATATATATATAAATATATATATGTATATATATATATATATATATATATATATATATATATATTTTTTTTTTTTTTTTTTTTTTTATATAATTCACCTCCTCAAGGCCGAGAAGGCCACTACAAACGAGGAGGCTACTTTTTTGTGGTTATAGCCCTCTCTCAACTCTATAACTCCGAAACACGAACCTTGATGAACAAGGCCGCTGCGCGGAGAAACGAGTTGAGCGCGGTACTACCAGGGACGTGGTGGGGATCGAACTCGGAACCACTCGTTTATGAAGCGAGTGCTCTACCACTACACCACTACCGCATATGTATATATATATATATATATATTAAAATATATATAAGTTTATATATTTGTGCATACAGATAAACAAATATAAATGTATGATGATATCAAGATCAATTATATTGTGAAAGGCTAATTTTTTGATAAACAGTTTATTAGAAAATGATAATTATTGAAGTTTAATCAGTGATTTTTTCTTTAAGCCTATTTCAATAGTTTTTATATTTTTGAAAGTGATTCTATGTTATATTTTACTAAACTCTCTATAAAAAGTGCTCATTTAGTAAACCCTTTGATATTTGTCCTGATTTTTAATTTTTGTTCTTGTTCAATGGCCAGTTGAACATTTAGTTGAACATTTTTCATTATATAATTTGCTTGTCTGAATGCAGCAACATGGGCATAGGAAATAAATGTTACTAAAACACCTAATCATGTGAATACTGAAAAATTAATGTAATTACATTTATCTTGGTTTTCACATCTAGCCATTGATATTAAAAGTATGCTCCATAATGATCACATGTGTATTAACCTATGATATTTTATATAAACTAGTTGTCTTACTTCAATCCAAAAAGTGAAGCCGCTTTTGTCCTTTTTACAAATGACGGATTAAATTTGTAAACAAATACTATTTAACTATTTTTTTATATATGAAATATATTTTTATATATGTAATATATTTTAAATCTATATATGTAAAAGTTTTAAGAGGAAATTAGAGTACTTGTAGAAGTAATAATTTATAATTTCTAAATTTATTTTCGATTAAAAAGGGATTAAAATTTAAAATAGAAATAAACCTTAAATAAACCTTGATAAGTACTTTATGTTTATTATAACATGTTTTTGAATTATCTTTAATTTATTGGTTAATTTTGACTCGCATTTTGAGCTTTTATTCCACACATTTGCTTCAGCTTTAACACTTTTTACAAATGGCAAATTATATTTTTAAGCAAAAAAAGCGACATCATTTTTTGTTCAATAAAGGACAGCAAGTTTGACATCTAGTTTATATAATATATCATCTAGTTTATATTATATAGTTTGTTTTGGGATTGTCCGTCAATTATTGATATTTTGAAAAAACGGAGCCAGAGGTATGTGATTTGTCATATGTTCAAATTAATCATATTTCTGAAAAGTCTCATGACTTTTAACAAAATCAGATGGTAAAAAACCATCTGATTTTGTTAAAAACAGAAAGTCTAGATCACACTTGGAGTTTTAAAAAATAAAAGGCAATACAGTTAGTTTCTTTTGTATACTGGTCTCTATGCACTGATTATACAAATTAAATTAGCAGAATCAATGCATTGGTTATGCATTGATGCTATTAAATTGGTTTGGATGACTGGATTATTAAGGCTGTGGATTATTATGGTCCAACATTTATAACATACAATTTGCATAACCTTATTCATTTTTTATAGTTTTCTGAATGATTGTTTCTTGATATATCTGCCTTTTTATTTAAAAAGGCTTTTTGGCTTATTCGCTTTTGGTAAGAAGATGGCACTTGCTCAAATGGTCAAGGCTTTAAGTGAAATATAAGTAGTTCGGATTGGAAGAAAAAACACCTAACAAAGTAATCATTAGTCTTAAAGAGAGCTATTTATAAAAACAATTTTTGATTCTTTGCTTAGTGAAAATGTACCATTTCAGTTTCTTTATTTACCATGCAACTTATGTTATAAAAAAATGTATTGCCAAAATAACACTTGTAAAAAAATAATTTTCCAGAAATCTGAACTCAAAGATATTTTATATCTTTTGAGGTTAAAACTAGCCATATTTTTTTTTTCCATTATTTCATGATTGTGTATTTTAAATTAATTTTGTTTATTTATTCAATTAAAATTATTTTGGAGGCAATTTCATTAGTTTTGCATTTTATGGAGGTATTGTTTATTCTATTTCAGATAATGTTGCTAAACGATTTACAGTCGATAATCTTTCGAAAGCAGAAAAACTCAGGTTAGCATCAATTAGGAAGTTAGCGCAATTTCTGGTATTTGTGGTATTTCTATTTGTTTATTCCTAATGTTTTTTATTTAGTTCTTAAAAATGCTTTTAATTGGATTTGTTTGTAACTTTATGTTTCTTCATATATATTTGTCTTTTAGTGTCAAACAAAGAATACGCGAATTATTTGAGATATGATTGAAATTTGCAAAGAAAGTAAAAATAAAACTAGTTTCATTCTAAGTTATTGTATATAATTTTAAAATTTGGAATAGAAGTGATGCAATGTTTATTTATTTTTAGTCTTTTAATTTCCGTATTTAATTATTTGCCCGGACTAATATAATAATCGTGTATGACCTAAATAAATAAGAAGAAATATAGCTTGACAGCGCAAAGTTATACAGTGTAAAATTGTCCTTTATTGTTTTTTGCAGTGTAGAAATAACATCAAAAATGATAGAAAAACGTCGGAGGGCGTTTTTCTTACAACGTTTCGCAACATTGTTAATATAACGTTGACCTATGTTTCATATATGCCATTATTCCAACGTGTAAAAAACGATAGAAAAGACGCTGGCTCAACGTCATTTTAGCTAAAATATAACGTTAGCCTAACGTCCTTATAACGTCTTTTTTCTTCAAGTTTAACGTTGCTCTAACGTCTTTCCGACGTCATTTAGCTAAAATGTAACGTGTGTAAAATGACGTGGTGATACACCACGTCATTTTACATCGTTGTAATAACGTTAGTAAAATGACGTTTTTTCGGTGTTTCATTTATAACATCATGGTAACGTCTTTCCAACGATACGAAAGACGTTAGAACAACGTTGTTCCGACGTCATTTTTCTTATTGGGCATATTAGTCATGCATTTTTAGGTCATCTTATCTTTCTCTGCATACAAATATTTTTATTACGTCTTTATTTTTGCATTCAACTAAATGATTTTTTTCATCAAGTTTGTCAACTACCTTGTTTTTCATTTTAGCAAAATATTTCATATTCTTGTTTTTAAATGGAGTTTAATTTAGATGTAAAATGAAATCTTTTGGAAAATTAAAATAAAATCTTATATTTTAAAATTTTAAGTTGGTTAGTTATTGTTGTTTTACTTATATATTTTTAATGGCTAAATGAATGGTTTAAATCTTTCTCATTTTCAATTGTTGTATTTTCTCTCTATATTAATAAGTCAACTTGATTTAATTCCTTATTTAAACAATAATAAGTTGTCTTTGTTTTAATAGTGAAAAATATATTCGAGGACAGTGAATAAATATATTTTTTAGCGGGATGAACATTGGATAGTGTTTGTCTGTTAAAAAGCTACGACTCTAATTATAAAAGCTATATGGACTTTTTTACAAACAATAAATTTTTTTAACAAAAAAAACAGTTATTTTGTCGAGTTTTAGCATTAAATTTGGTAAAAATGAGTTTGAAAAAGATTTTACTCTGTTCTATGGTCCATAAAAAATTAGAATCTTTTCATCGAGTAACGAGTATTTTATAAAAAACATGAACTACGAGTCTCGATTGGCAATTTTCTGGGACTACAGTTCACTGGCAAATTAAGGATCTTCGAGGCTGGTGCTATTTAGAGTTAAGGGTCAGAAATGTCAGATATAAAAAACCTTTTTGAAAATTTTTTTTAGTTATTTAGGTGCTCCCAGAAGTCCTTACGATCTTATCACAGAATCACAGAGTACCACAGGAGAGCATTTAACTGAAACCTTATGCCTCCTTCCGTACCAAATTTAAAGTTATGATATTGTCAATAAGAGACGTTGAGTTTTTTGTGAAGATTAATCAAACAGCTCCAGGATCAAAATTACCCTTATATAATTTTTGTTTTTTTTTTAACAAACGAGCGTTACTTTAACATGTTTAATCTCGTATTATAAAATAAAATTGTTTACAGACTCGTAAAATAGACAATTAAATTAAAAACCAAACCTTTTATTGTAATTATATAAACACAAAACAAAATAAATAATTTTCACAAAAGATATATTTGTAACATGTAGTTGTAAAACTTTACTTAGTTTCAACATTTTGTCAAAAATAATTTTAGGTCATTCATTTTTCCTTAATTTAGAAATTTCAAGTTATTAACAAAAGCGATAAATTGAAAATAGAGTGAGCTAGGAAAAAAAAATTTGAAAATGAAAACTCAATGCACAAATCGAAATACTTTGTAAAACTTTATTAATGAAAGTTTAATTTTTTTATATTTATAACAAAAATAAAAATATAACAATAATAACTTACAAAAGCGATGGAAGAAACTTTTTAACGCTGTGGAACGCCGCAAGACCGTGGTACTACTAAGCATTTATAGTTTATATTTTCTTAAACCATTTACTCCTTTTAATATTTAGTATTTTATTTATAAATATAAAAATACTGTAACAGTTATAAAGGTTTTAATTGCACTATAATCGATCCTAAAGAAGACAATACTTTCAATAATGTCAAAATTAAGTCATATTTGTTATAATAATCAGTAAAATGAAGCAAATTTTTTTTAATAATATAACTTTTGCAGTGTGATAATAAGTAGCACTTAGGTTTATTGTACTCAAAAGATGTAATTAGATACACAGTTCTATTAAAAAAGCTCAAATAGTTCTATTGAAAAATTCAAACAACTTTTATTTGTGTATTTAAGGATTAACTTGATTATAACTCATTATTCACACCATGTGGGTATTTCAAAAACAGTTTAATGATAGTATATGAAATGACGATAAACTGACATGATAGTATACTGCTGTGCCAATTTTTTAGTATTATGGTATACATTCAATTTTAGTTTATATTCACTATTTACTTTTGCATTAGGTTGTTTTTTTCAAGAACACCTAAAACATAAGAAAAGTATTAGTTCAAATAATAAAAGTTTATTAAATGTCAATAATTGTAGTGAGGGGCCAACAGTAACTCAAGCTAAATTGAACTATATTTTAAGCAGTGCATTATTGTTTTTATCATTAAAGCTTTTGTTCGGAGGTATTGTTTACGGCATAACTTCATGTAATAAAGTACCTTACGCAATCAATATTTCATTTATTTTAATTTTTTACCCACACGCAATTATTTAACACTTTTTAGTTTTAACTGCTCTTGGTGGCAAGTCTTAATCGAGTTTCTAAGTTGCACACAAAAAAATAGGTTTTTTTTCTATGATAAAAACTTTCATAAAAATGTCGATATTAAAAACTAATTTTAATAATAAACTTAAGTTCTCTGATTAAATAAACAATGCACCATTAAAAGCTAAACGGATACTTAGTATTTATCAAAAAGCTTTTTTGATATATACTAAGCAATTTTATGTTTATAAAACTATACCTATGCAACTTACGTACGTTCACTGCTTGACTTTAGCGTACGCCCACTGCTTGACTTATGCGTACGTCCACTGCACAGTGGGACAGAGTGTGCCAAAATACAAAAAAATCACTATCGGCATTGTATTCTGAAAATATGTCATAATGATGAAAATATGTTTATTAGAGGAAATATATAGTTAAAAAAAACATTAAATATTAATTTAAACGTTGTTTTATGCGGTTATATACACGTAAATTTGACATGTGTTTCAAAACGCTTTTTTGCATTTTTTAATTATCAATTTTCTTACGCTACTATTGTTTTAAATTAATTTTATTGAGTATGATTTTAAAATATATTATTTGAATTAACTTTGTTTTTTTTGCTCTGACTATTCAAAACAATTAAACGTAAGTGTAATCTTCAGTTTTTATGCATCAGTGACAGGCAGTTTTGGCTTTTTTTTTTGCTACTAACCTTTACTATTAGGTATCAGATAAACCGTCCTTCAATATCCTCCAAACATTTGATTATGTAAATCGGATGCTTAATATATCTTAACTGCAATTTATCATAAATATTTTGCAACTTTTTGCAACTAATAAAGTTATAACAAATAACTCATACTCAATTCATAGTATTTATTGCAAAAACACGTTTTTCATAAGTTCTTGAAACTCAAATATTTTTCATGATTTTTTAACTGCAAATTAATTATGCAAGATTTTTTTTACCAAAGGTTTCAATAATAATTTTTTTTTTTTTAGTTATATATATGATACTTGTTGATATGGTGTCTTTTTCCCTCCATTCCTTCTCCCCCCCCCCCTCCTTTCCTTTTTCCTCCTTAAAAAAATATTTTTATAACCTTTTCAGTATATCTAATGCTTTTACATATAGTGTATGCGCTAATAATATTTTACAGATACTTGTCCGCAAGATGCAATAACTTCAATTTTGTTTTTAGATGAAATATTTTGATCTTTTCGACTCTTTAAAAGATAATAAAATTTCTATTTAAGATACTGAGAAATCATATATTCATTTGCTAACATTCTTTGAGTTATTTCTTGATCAGAACAATGAAATTTTTGGAGATCAAAACTTATGAACATTTTAGCACATCTTAAATATCGCTGGAATGTCTGTAAACGCAGAGAATCTTTATTTATTAAGAACATTACTAAATGGCTTGATAATGAAATTAATTTAAATGATTTTGCTGCAGGCAAAATAACCATACCTACAAGTTCTCAATCTACTTCCAGCGCTGGTCGACCAACAACTACTGACTTTCAAGAGTGTTCTTCAAGAACTAAGTATCGACGTGTTAGTAAACTCCAAAAAAGTCACTCGTCAAATGAGCTAATATTTGCTTCAAAAATTTCATTAAATAAAGAAGGAAAAATAGAAAAAGCTAAAGCAATCAACAAAATATATTTAGATAAGAATGTAGATTCTTCGATGCTTTCTGGAAATGAAGCATTGTCATTGATGCTAGATTCAAATATGACCAAAGCTGCGTTTCAACTCCATAGAAATGCAGCAATTGAAAAAGAATGCAACCTGTATCCTGCATATAACAATATAAAATCATCAAAACTTTTGTGCTACCTTAATAACATGATTTTTACTGACTATGCTGCAAGTATACCACTGCAAAGTTTATTTGACCATACAGCTCAAAGACTTTGTCAAGTTCAAAATGAGGTTTTATGTATGCTAGAAACGTTTGACCTGGTATCTCTTCATTATAAAGCAGGTTTTGATGGGTCTACTGGTCAAAGCATATATAAACAAAAAACGTCTGTTGAAAGTTTTTGCGACTTGAAAAGAGAAGAATCATTGTTTCTAACTTGCCTGGTTCCACTTTAGATTACAACTTATGTTAGAGAAACCCTAACTGTCATTTGGAGAAATCCAAAACCTTCTTTCAATTTATATTGCCGACCTTTAAGATTTAAATTTGAAAAAGAAACAACTGATTTATTACTTATTGAAGTAGCTACTTTAAAAGACGAGATCTTAAATCTTGTAGAAACTTTTGTTCAGTTATCTAACGGCAAGTCTATTTCAGTCAAACATATCATTCAAGTTACAATGATAGATGGTAAAGCCCATATTGCTCTATCAAATGTAACAAGCTCTAGTCAATGTTGCTGTATATGCGGGTGTTCACCAAAAGATATGAACAATATTGACAAAGTTACGAAACTTCCATACTCACCGGATGAGCTTCAATATGGATTATCTACACTTCATGCATGGATAAGATTTTTTGAGTGTCTCATACATATTTCATATAAGATACCAATAAAAAAATGGCAAGCAAGAGGAGACATAGAGAAATCTCTTGTTAAAGAGCAAAAAATGAAGATACAAAAAGAATTTCAACACAAAATGGGACTTATTGTTGACTACCCAAAATGTGGAGGATCTGGAAACTCAAATGACGGCAATACTGCTCGAAAAGCTTTTTCAAATGAAGACTTGTTTGCTGATATTACAGGAATAAACAAGGAACTAATTGTAAAGTTGCATATAATCCTAATTTGTATATCAAGTGGATTTCAAATAGATACTTGTAAGTTTTGCTTACTTTGTCTGGAGACCGCAAAACTCTACTCATGCTTGTACCATTGGTTTTATATGCCTCAGAGTCTTCACAAGATCTTAATTCTTGGAGCAGAAGTAATAGAAAATCTATTCTTACCAATAGGTCTATTTAGTGAAGAAGCTCATGAAGCTAGAAATAAAGAACTTAGAAAATATAGGGAACATCATTCCCGTAAAAATTCAAGAACAAAGACAAACGAAGATGTAATGAAAAGACTTTTATGTACAACTGATCCAGTTATTTCATCTTATAGAAAAACTGTTTCATCTGTAAAAAAGAAATTTCCTCCGGGTGTTGTTGAACTTTTTATTTGCGAGAATTCTACGTTCTAGAATATAGATCTAGTTCGTAATTTTTAATGGTAATTAAACTAAAAAATAAACTTTTTTAGCAATATATATATATAAGTTTGATATTCATTTTATATGGTTTGTATAATTAGTTTATAACAGTTCTAATAAAAAAAGTTAAAAATAATTTTGGCACAAAAAACGCGATTTTATCCCACTGTGCACTGCTTAACTTTTGCGTAATCCCACTGCTTGACCTTTGCACTCTAGTATGAAGCCGCTAATTAAAGAAAGATAATAAACGACAAAGAAGAAAAAAGCGACGCAGAGCAATAAACTAGTTTCTCAGTTAAAAAACATGAACTGCGAGTCTTGATTGGCAAATTCGGGACTAAATACACATTCAGAACAAAGAATGAAAGGCGCTTTGATTCAGTATTTCAAAATCTGCAAGAACTATATCAAAGTCAAGTTCCTAAACGCAGGTTTATAATTTTTCAAATTATAATTTCCGCTTGTTTTCAAATTGTCCTACAGAAATCTTACAAAGCAATATCCACAACCAGGTTATTATGTCTGAGAAATAACTCCGATACACATAATTATCTACCTAGCAGAATTGCATCTCAATTTTATAACAAATACAATAATTTTTGTTAAACCATTATGATTAAGTCTACTATCGCAAGACCTCATTAGATGTCATGTTTTTGATTCTAACGAACTTTATTGCAAAACATTTATAATAAAAATAGTAAGTAGTACAAAGTAATACAAAGCCATGTGACACAAAAAAGTCACATGGCTTTGTGACTTTTAGAACTAATAAATACGTCTTTTACACTTTCAAAAGACGACCAAAACGTTTAAAACACGTGCAATATATATATATATATATATATATATATATATATATATATATATATATATATATATATATATATATATATATATATATATATGTATACATATATATATACATATATAGAAGTTCGAATTTATTGATTTTAATTTTACAAGCTCACAAAATAAACTTTTTGAAGGAAAAATATTTTCCCTATTTGATTACCGTTTATAGTCTATATTTGTTAATTAAATTTATTAATCTAAATAAAAATATCTCCAAAAACAAAAATAGCCCCAGGCCCCAAGAAGTTTTAATCCGCCACTGGATAACTATAACTAAATAGTTATAGTTATAAAATAAGTCGAAAAATTAACAACTTTCAAACTATATTTTTTAAACATTT